CGGGAGGGCGGGCTGGCCTCATTTTTCCAGGGAAGTTCTTACTTGCATCTCTTTTCTTGTTTTTGGTCTTGTTTCTGAGATTTTGCTGCCGTTTTTTCTCTCCGGCGTGTGCCGGATGGCTCCGAAACTTGCCGATCCTGGTTTTTTAGGGGTTTCGAGTTCTTCTCGCTCTTTTCTTCAAGCTCTATCTGGATCTTCTTCTAGTAATGGTTTTCCTAAACTTAAGGTGTCGACTTTCCGCGGCATGCCGTCATTGTGGATTTCGGATGATGAAATCTTGGCTTTGGCTGTGCCTTTTCAATTTTCTCTTGTGGGTTTCTTTCCTTCAAAGAGACCTTCTCTTGATTATATTAGGAAATTTTTCTTCAATCTCAAGCTAAACGGTGAAGTTTCGGTTACCTTGCTGGATTCGTCCCATATTTTGATCAAATTGGAAAATGACCTTGATTATTGTCGCATTTTCTGTCATCGATCTTATCTGGTGTTTAACTGCTTTATGAAGCTCACGAAATGGTCGCCTTCGGTTGATATCGGGGTTGAATCTCCAGTGATCCCTATCTGGGTATCTTTTCCCTCCTTACGGCCGCACCTATTTGCCCCTAAAATTCTCCACGGTCTGGCTTCCATTTTTGGCAAACCTCTAAAGATTGATTCAGCCACGTCTTTGGGATCTAGACCGTCTTTAGCTAGGGTGTTAGTTAAGCTTGATATCACTAAATCCTATCCTGATCGCATTTGGTTAGGTTCTGAAAAGCTTGGCTATGTTCAGGATGTCGTTATGGATGAATTCCCTTCATTTTGCGGTTCTTGTCGCTGTTTTGGTCATGCGATGGGTGAATGTCGTTCTAAAAATATTGTGTTGGAAACGTCTGTTTTACCTAAAAATGTTGAGCATGATGTTAAAAAAGGTGATTTTCCTATTTCTGTTTGTGGGGGACGGCCGATACCTGTGGATGGAACCTCCGGGTCTATGGATCCTTTGGCTGCTTTAAATTCGTCAGATACTTTACCCCTTTTGAATGTGTATAATTTGGAAAATGGTGTGAATGTTGTGTCTGATGGTCACGCTGGTAATGTC